CATCTTTAAGGTTTTGTATTAGCTGGAGATTCTTTTTAATGCTAAAGCCAACAAAAAAAGAGTTTATAATCTGTATGTGGAGCCATATGTAAAGGAAAGGCTGAGGAATGAGGAAGAGAATGTAAGGCTCAGCTTTTTTAAAATCAAGAATAATCTTTAGCCTTAAAAGTTAAGGGGGTGGGGGGGAAATGGCAAGGAGGAAATAAAATCTAAAACTAAATTCAATTCCTTTTTTGATGGCATAATGAGAATGACAGGGCATGGAAACAGACCAAATAGTTTACTTGGATTTCAGCAAAGCTTCTGATAAATTACTATTAGCTAATAGTAATTAAGTGGTGTTGAAGGATTCATACATTACAGAGAACATTTAGACATGTTATTGGTTCAATGGATTGATATTGACCCTAATATGGACTACAGCTGCTTCAGACAGGACTTTGCCCTGGCCCTCTCCTGTTGTCATTTTTATCAATAGGGTATAAAATATTTTGAACTTGTTGATGTCATTAAGTGGGGCAGAATGGCAACTGTACAATGTGATAGAATTAAGGCCCAATATTTTTAAACAGATAGGAATAATGGTGTCAGTCTAGGAATACAAAGTCTAATACCAGACCTTACCCTTATCTTAAAGAGCAGAAGTGTACACACTGTATGAGAAATTAAGGTGTTGCTCAGTTTAAAATCGTACTTTTAATGAAGGGTAAATGCATTGAGCTATTATAAAGATAATCCACTAATCCTCAGAATCACACTTCAAAGTAGGCATTATCTCCAGTTTAAGGTGAAGAAACAGGGTGAGTTAACTTGCCACAGTTCTCACAAGAAGTTTAAACTAAAATTAAATTTGTCTAATCCTGACATTCATGGGCTAAGGCTGCACACTGCTTCAACATCTAAGTTAATATGTGAGCTCATTTGATTACTAACTCCCTATGTACTGTGGTTGCATTTTCCGTAATATTTTAATTCTTGGTGCTATTTCAAAATGAAATTTTCTTTTATAAACGGAGGAGAAAAGGTCATCTTTCGGTAAGCAGTTTCATGCAATTAAGTAAAAACTAATTTACTTCGAACATTCAAATCTTTCCAGTGTGGCATAGACCAAACGTTGGCAAACTACGGTCTGCAGGCCGAGTCCAGCCCACCTCCTATTTTTGCTCAGTTCACAAACTAAGAATGACACTTAACATTTCTAAATGGTTGAAAAAAATCGAGAGGGAATTTTATGACACATAAAAATTATATGAAATTCAAATTTTAGTGTCCATAAATAAAATTTTATTAGAACACAGCCATGTTCATTCAATTACATATTGACTATGGCTGCTTTCATGCTACAAAGGCAGAGTTGAATTAATTGTGACAGTAACCATATGTGGTGCTTTCATTGTTTTGCACTGCTATTCAACATGCTACAAATCTCAGTGATGGCTATAAAACTCAACAGCATTTCAAGTGTCATACATATTGTCATACAGACATTTTATTTTTTATTACCAGTGCATATACATCATGTCAAAAAAAGTTTTAAAAAGTGGACTTTGAGTGTTGCACTTTTAAGGCACAGTGGAGTGTGAATTGTCGTACAACTATATCGCAAAGCATTGTGTTTATTATGCAATGACACTTTCACTGTGCTAAAAAAATATATTTGCAGACTAAGCACTCATCACAATATTCCCAACCCACAGGAAATCAACAGTTAGAACAATCAGAAAACTTAAAATGTAGTATCTTATCACAGCATAATCTACTAATTTAAAAAATTAGAATAAGGGTGTAACCAAAGTAACTTTCTGAGTGGCTCATTTGTTAGCCAAGCAAAAACAGCTATATACTGATGGTGAGTTAGAGTTAATTCAATTGTGTTTGATTGTAGCAACCAGAGAGTGGGCCCAGAGAAAAACTTCTTCAACACTACCAGCTTTTCACCAAGAATACTTGCTTGGAGACATGAGGACACTGTGGCAACACCAACAGTCAATTAAAAAACAAGGCAAATGATTTCAAGTAGCTTTGCTTTGCTTTTGGTGAGTCAACAGATGTTACCAATACTGCCCAGCTGTATACTTGACAAGTCAATGCTGAGTTTGAAGTGACTCAAGAACTAGCCTTTATGAATAGTCTGCATACAATAACTGTAGGAAAGAATATTTCAAAGAAGTCAAGAAAACACCAATTTAGTACAACCTTAAGTAGAATCTGCTAAGATGTGTTGCAATTCATGGTGGTAAAAATGTGTGAAGTGGCAAAAAAATGCATAGTTAAATAAATTAGTCAATGGTTACATGCTGCGTTATTCATCAGCAGGTTTTGTGGGAAATATTTAAATATATCATGTCATCAAACTAGTAAAGTCAATGGTAAATTTTATTTACTTGTGATCTTAATCATCATTGGTTCCATTTGGTTTTGTCAGAAATAGAAGTTCAGTATTCTGACTTGCCCAATTACATAGCGGTTTGATGGCAGCAGTAAAGTTTTTTGGTTTTGTTTGTTAAGACACAGGATCTCACTCTGTCGCCCACGCTAGAGTGCAGCATCATAATCATGGCTCGCTGCAGCTTCGACTCCTGGACTCAGGACATCCTCCCACCTCAGCCTCCTGGGTAGCTGGGACTGTGGGTGTATGCCACCATGCCTCACCAATTTTTTGTAGAGATGGGGTTTTGCCATGTTGCCCAGGTTGGAACAGTAGTTTTATTGTAACTTTTTTTTACCTCAGAACCAAGACTGAAATCGTTATGAATGAGGAGAACCACCCTCAAACTATTTTCAAACACTGAATAGCTTTGGAAATTACTTTTGCTGCAAACTTAATAATGCTTTTTAATAAATTCAACCTACAATTACAAGGCAAAACGGCACTTATATGTGAAACATACTGTGACAAGGTCATTTTGATGGCAACTAATGTTGTTTAAATCACAAGTATTATAAAGCTGGCTTTATATATTTCCCATGCTATCAAGATAAGAAGCAAGATCTCCATTCCCACACAAACCTGTAGTGAACATATTTTCCAAGTTCCACTGTTGTTCAAGCTGCACTACTGGACCTTAATGCAAGTGCAAAGGAAATTGTTCTATTTCAGTATTCATTTAAATATACAATTGAGCATCCACCTAACCTTCAATAGGAAGTGATTAATATGCAATGTAATGACAGCTAAAAGGCAAATAACAATAGCAGAATCTAATAGAATTCTATAAATACCTTCCAAATGATGAATATGATCAATTAAAATTACACACTCAATCACAACTGATAACAGTACATGGATGTATCTATTTGAGTGAGAAGACGTTTTCAAAGATGAAATACAAAAAATCACATTATAGGCCAGCATTAACAAATGAATATTTGCAATTAATTTTGAACCCCAATTTAGTGAGATATTATCCCCTCAAAATCACTCGATTCTTAGTAGCCCTGTATCACAAAAAAACATATTCAAGTATTAATATATTTTGAATTTTATCAATAAAATATATGTGAAAAGTTTTCTTTCTCATTACTTAAATATATAAAAGCCTCAATTTTGCCTTTCAGCTCACAAAGCTAAACTTTGCCAAAAAGTTTCCAACCCCTAGTCTGCAGAAGTGCCAGAGCGTCTGTCCATTTAAGTGAAATCAAAGTATAAATATCAATAAACAACTGGTCTAACAAACCGTTTTTATATCCCAGTAATATTACCTGATCATTCTTCTATATATAGTCCTTTCTTTGGTTATGATCCATGTATTCTTATGAACAAGTAAATGTCCTAAGAAAATAATTTATGTGGGTCTGTATTAGAGCTAGGCAGAGAAGAAATTAGTTATCCTGAATATCAGCAAATCTTTATAATTGTATTTGCACTCTAGTAGAAAAAAATGTTCTTAACTCTTCTCAACCAGTTCCATCACCAATGTGTCTCCTCAAGGTCAAACCATGACTCAGGCTCAGCCACTGGGAGAACAATATTCCCTTGTCCATAGTAATTGGCTCAGGGGTGGGCACATCAACCAATAAGGGAATGTCAGTCTTAGGCTTCTGTTGGAGCTATTGAGAAAAATGGCCCTTTGTTTTTTGTTTTGCTGAAAATACTAAGATGGTGGATGGCCACTTTACCATGACACATAGAAAGTCTTCCTGATACTGAAAACAGCAGGGTAGGAAAGCAAAACCAAAAGATACGGAGAAGATTCCTGTCTTAACTCCAGGATTAAGCATGTCTGAAGGCAGTCCTACCACTCGACTTTTCAGTTAAATGAGATAATGCACACTCTTATTGCTCAAGCCAGGTTAAATTTCTGTCACTTTCAATTCAAAGAGTTCTGACTAATGCAACTATATATTCATTCAGATTGAAATCCCCATCTTAAGTCAAATTTTTCTAAATAGAACCTTTACAGTTATGTGTCATCTCCAGATCTTTCTCCTGCTTCTGAAGGTCTCTGCTGCTTCATGGACACAATATTGACAGGCTGAGAGAGGGCTGCTTTGCCTTATCTTACCTGTAGCATTCCTCAGTAAGTAGCATACCATTAATGCCATTTTGTAAACTCCCGTAAAGCACCTAGCACAATGATGAACTATGAGATACTGTTAGAAATATGGGCTCCCCATCTGCAATGATTTTAAAGTCATTCACTTAAAACTGGAATAATGCTTAATTTCTGTGAACATAATAGTATGATTCCATTCTCAAAGAGGAAAAATGATTCTATTTCCCTTATCAGAAGATGTATTTAACTATTGCTCTATTAAACAGTTCAGAGAAGTATAATTTTTTTTTCAATATTAAAGAAAGCTTAGATCCTTTCTAGTGTGTGCTCTTTACCACTGGATTTCAAGAAAGCAAAACAAAACATAAAATAACAAAAGCATATATCCTTCAGCTCTGCTTCCCATATATAACCAACTAAATAAAGCAAAATTTTAAAACTCCTATCTTAAATTAGGGAGTGACATTATTTTACCCATCATTAGAGGAAATGGGAAAGAGCAAGTTTAAAAAAACTACTTTTATTATTTTTTTTTTTATTTCTTTTTCAGTTACATACTTTTAAACAGGGATGTGTTTCATTATTCAGACATTCAGGCAATGTTGACTTCATTAGTGTTGACAGAAAATAAGCATAAAAATGCAAAACATTGTTGGCTTAACCTGAACATACCTGCATTACCTATTATTGACCAGTTTGTGTTGCCAAAAGACTTATTCCTTGGCATTAAAATGGAGCACTTAAAAATATTGCTAAAAAGCAAATGTCTACACACTGGTCTTTGCAGCAAATAAGGGTATTTATACTTTTAAAATATTTTAAGTCCATAATTGGATTAATATACACACCTTCTTATGTATAAGGAGTTCAGATCATATAAACACTGTACAATCCAAAAAACCCTACTGAGAATAAAACTAAATAGGCTTATGATAAGAAATACAGATATTCGCATGTATTTACAAATATCATAGACACACAAATTTGGTCAAATACTGTAAAGAAAGAAGTGGTTTCACATTATAATTGCCAAAACATCCATCTACCTTGCTCAAAGCAAATAAAAATATAAACTCAGTATGTAACTCCTGCAGTTTAAGACATCATGACAGTATACAGATAGAATGGAAACTGTTGACCAAATTATACAGCAAATGTTTTCTAGGTTAAGTATAGGTCTTTAAAATAAAAAGAGATCATTCACAGGATTCATAGCAACAATGAAAAACAATGTCCTGATTTGTGGTGTTCATGTGGGTGCCTAATTCATCAAAAAAATGCATTAAACTTTTGGCTAATAAGAAAAATAAATTACAAAGTATAATTAAATCCCTGTAAATGCAATAATGAAGTAAAAAAATGTAGATTTACTTTAATATACATCTTAAATGTTACCTTGAGACAATAAAAATAAATAAGCATGCCTGAAGGCACACACTTAAAGACAACGAAGAGACTGCATGGAAGGAGTAAGTAACAATTTTATAAATGAAAGATGAATATGAGATTTGTTCAATATAACTATCCTTCTAGCCAGGCTTTGTTTTAACCCTTCTTGAAAATTCTGGCTAGCAGAATGTGACAAAACTACATGTGTGTCTTTATGGCTTAAAACAAAGCATATTTGAAAAGTGGAATGGGCTTCCTTTTTTACAGAATTAGTTTTTTTTTTTTTTTTTTTTGTTCATATGCAGGCACTTCAAAAGACTATGGAGGCAAAGCACCTGACCCATCCTTTCCAAAATATTTTTCAATCATCAAAATTATGCTAAAGAGTAGGAAAATTCCAGAGAATCAGCAAAGTTGAATACAAGAGACTAATGTGCACAGAGGGCATAGAGTGACCCACTTTTTATTGCTGGGGGTCTTTTTTTTATCAAAGAGCAAAATAATTACACAGACACCATTGCATGGCACATCCAAAGTTTTCTGCTTAAGGGAGAATGTAATCATTCAGCAGTAAGTTTCAGTGAGATTTCTTTAGGCTTCCACCTTATACATTGCAACAAGGTTCACATTTACTGCCTCTCCTTAGTGTATTTCTTTGTAACTCCAACATATATCACTGTTTGAAGTATTCATTTCTTGCTGTCTAACATACATTATTATTTGGAAGCATAAAGTTACATTGTACAAATATTTTGCATTTTAAAAAACAAGCACTTTTGCCACTTCTGCAACACAGTACTTCACATGGTGGTGCAACAAAAGCAGAGCACATATTTACCGCACTACTTAAGATTCATTTTACCACTACCATCTGCGGAACCCATATTGCTTTTTCCTCAGTACCTCTGGGCAGTGACTGTACCATGATTTCACAGAGAGAATGTTAATATGACTTATGAATAACAGTACCATCAGTAACACTGAAATCAATGCAGATGTCACAAAATATGAACTTCTCAAGGAATAACTTCTTTTAAATATTTGGGCAACTCTGTTTTCTCTGTTGTATTATCCACTGAGAAAGAAAATTCCTGTTTGATTATGCTCTTACAGAAGTTATAAAAAACCAGATTAGGTATACAACTGGTTGATACTTAAGATACTGTATGCTTTCTGCAACAGAAGAACTTCTGAAAAATGTTCTATAGAACTATATTCATCAATACCACCTCATTGGTCCATTCCATTCATTGATGGGCAAAGCACTCATGTTTTGACAAAACTTTAAAGCTTCCATAAAAGTTCAATTAGAAAAAAAAAAAAGAATGTAAGACAACCACAAAATGAAGTATGAAAGTATGACATTTTTGTTTCTAAGAGTGAGTCCTTGAAAATATATGTGGTCACTACAGAGATGATTTTAATCACAAGACAGCAGATGAACATGTAAGTAACTCCCCAGGATCTGTCTGTGTCCAGAGTCATTTGTGGCGCTGTATGGTTTTCCTTTTCCTTCGTTTGAAAAAACAGCAGCACCTGCAGATGAGGGAAACACTCTTTTTAGTTTAAAAGCACTAAAATGTCACAAAGTTGACTGTATCATATTAACTTAAATGATCATAAAAAGCAATAGTCTAGTGCAAGATAAACAGTGATTACACCAATGAAGCATATGTATTAGTGAAAATATGGCAGAGTTATTACTATTATGTTTCATCCACATGCCTTTTAAGAATAGCAAGACATTCTATGCAACATAAAAAGGAGCCATTAAATTCAAAAGGTTTTTCACTAAGACTAACTGAGAATTTCATTCTATGCATTCTCACCCTTTCTCCCAGATATTTATATGTGATTGTTGAAGCCATCAGAAAGGCAATAATGATCCTAACACTGGGGAGCTTATTCTTACCAATAATCAGTTTAGACTCCAAAAATAAAAAGATACTACAACATACACTAGTCAACATTTTCCATCATATTAAAAAAGTGAAAAACAGAAAACACATTTTATAGAATGTCAAGACTGGCAATTTTAAATTCTTTAAGGGTTAAAGAAGGTCAAGTTTATTGAAAGTTAAGGTAAAAACTATGCTTAATATTTAAAGTAGCACAACTGAAGTGATTCCATTGTACAAGTCAAAACTGCATATGCAAAACAATATAATCCTGACTTTTATTTCTAGGTGAAAAAAAATCTTGGCTGGGCACAGTGGCTCATGCCTGTAATTCCAGCACTTTGGGAGGCCAAGGCAGGAGGACTGCTTGAGCTCAGGAGTTTAAGAATTCAAGACTAGACTGGGCAATACAGCAAGACCCCATCTCTAAATCTCTCTCTCTCTTTAACTATATATACACATACACAAGTATCTCTAAATATATATACACACACACACACACACGCTGGACATGGTGGCACCCGCATGTTGTCCCAGCTCCTTGAGAGGCAGAGGCGGGAGGAATGTTTGAACTATGATTGTGCCACTGAATCCCACTCTGTGTAACAGAACAAGACCCTGCCTCTAAAAGAAAAAGTTTAAAAAAAAAAAAAATCTAGATGTAATCAATCCTTAAGAGAACTAGTTTCTCTCACAGTAAATTCTTCTAGTCATGAGGAGATGCAACACATCAAGGCTGCTGTGGGAAAATGCTGTGGTCTGGTATGAAATGAAAAATGAGAATCACTGATCTGCTCCCACCAAAAAGAAAAAGAAAAAAAAGTACATACACACCTATCTTAAAAGCCTCACAGTCTGAGTCAGTCTATTAGAATATATAACATGACAACACTACATATAGTTAGGCACCTTTTCTTTTAACCTTTAAACAGTCAACCCCTTCCTAACATTGAGTTTACTTTTGGCACAGACAAGCATGGTTGGGTATCCCTGATTTCCACTGAAACCCTCTGTGGGTGTGTGGGCATGTTTATAAATCACATTTTGTAATAAAAGCAAAGTATATTTATACACATGGTGATTTCATCACCGAGAGCTCCCAATTCAGACTGTGTATAATATGACCTTATAAAGATGTTTCTATAATTCTTACCAATCTATATTCATAAAAGAATAGCTTTGGCCCAGCGCGGTGGCTCATGCCTGTAATCCCAGCACTTTGGGAGGTCAAGGTGGGTGGATCACAAGGTCAGGAGTTCAAGACCAGCCTGACCAACATGGTGAAACCTTGTCTCTACTAAAAATACAAAAATTAGCTGGGCGTGGTGGTGGGCACCTGTAATCCCAGCTACTCAGGAGGCTGAGGCAGAAGAATCACTTGAACCCAGGAGGTGGAGGTTGCAGTGAGCCAAGATTGTGCCATCGCACTCCAGCCTGGGCAACAGAGTGAGACTCTGTCTCACCAAAAAAAAAAAAAAAAAAAATAGCTTCAGGTGTCCCATCCAGCAAAAGATTACAGAATATAACATAACTTCTAGATATGTTTTATATACTTCCGTGAAATAAATGTAAACAGAAATCTACATTGTCCAGTTAAATTACATAATCTCTCTACCCACATTATCTTTAGTCAAAAATAATTTTAAATTATTTATTGTGATTTCTGCCATAATTATGAAACAACTATGAGGGTACTGAAAACCAAATTACACAACTGCATTTTTTAAGTAAACCAAACAGTACACATCGACTAGACCATGGAATGTAAATAATAAAGATTCAACTAGAAATATATGTAATGATGAATGTTTATCAACTTTACTCTCATGGAGGTGACTAGCAGAAAGAACAGAAATGGATTACCCAGTCAAGAGCCTAGAGAAGAGCTGCCACAGTACAAGACTACAGATGTAAGAGATTTGTTCTGGATTTTAAAAAATAAGTCAAATTTATTTTTAACTGTCAGCTACCTAATATTTCTCAAATCTCAATTACTTTCTAAAAAATAAAATCCTTTACTCCAAATGAACCTTTAAATTTAAGACTTAGAAAAGAGAAGAAAAATGTCCAAATGGCAGAAAGCAAGACATAAAATAGGTATTTAGAAGTGACAGAATACTTAGAATATTAAATTTAAGTATATAGCCATATTTCAATTGAAATTTATTGTTTGATATAAAATTCCTTTAATAATGCTCACTATTCTTAAACACTGTCCCTTCAAATTCCAAATAGATTCTTTCAAAATTTTCTAAAGTTGTATTAGCCCTTTGAAATGGGTAATTTAATGTAATACACATTTTGATGAACAAGACCAAGTCCTAGATTTTCTACACTTGTATCAGCAATTTACTTTGCTTAGTTTGTATTTCCAGTACTGAGAGTTCTGAGAGTTGAGATCTTCACACTTAAGTAATCTTTCCTTCAACAGTGTTTTACTGAACTATGACAAGCACTTATTTGAAACTAAGTAAGATTTTCAAATAAATTCTAATGGCCCTTAAATTCAAACACAATCTAAAAAGGATATCTATTTTAAATAAATCCCACTAAATAAAGAACACATCCTTATAACAGATTTGCAAAAGTACAGCTGGCATGCTATTAAAGTTACTACCACCAGAGGACAGCATTGCCTTATGTGATACAAATACATCCAAACACATAGATAAGAGAGAGGTGCTAAAAATATGATATACTTACAGAAGTTAGGAAATAAATTGATGTTTTAACCTTATGGCTTATTTCTTAAGATAAAAGCAATTACCGAAATAGCTAATTCATAGCCTTAGTGATTAAGAAATCAGGTCTCATCTCAATTGCTTCCTCTTCCCCAGCACTTAATCTGAAACAGTGCTGCTCCCATGTAGCCACTTGATCACACTATTGTTTTATTTTTCTGTAATAACTTACTCTTACTTTGAAATTATTTTATTTATTATCTGCCTTTGCACTAGAATTTAAGCTTCATAAAGGACTGCTCAGTTATAGCCCAACAAACTGGCACAAAGTTAGTACTTATTTAATAGTGGTCCTCTCACTTCAGGCTCCTGAGTAGCTGGGACTACAGGCACCCAGCTGGCAATTTTTTAAAAATTATTTTTAGTGGAGACACGATCTCACTATGTTGCCCAGGCTGGTATCAAACTCCTGAGCTCAAGTAATCCTTCCACATCAGCCTCTCAAAATGTGAAGCTACATCTCCACTCTAAAATAATTTGGGAATAAATGTTAAGTCCTACTTAAGATGAACTTTAAAACAACTTTAGTTTCTTTAAATACTATTAGGCAACAAACAGGCAATCAAAACGGATCAAAGTCCGAAAACACACAAAGGCTTTTGCTATTGACACCGCACCACCATTTCTCCTTTGTTCATTGCCTTTTTCTTCATCTATTTGCCTTGTCTTCCTGGATATATGTCATATACTTTCTTCTCTCAAATCCACCCAGAAACTGAAGCATGTTTCCCTATCTGGATATGATGTTCTTATTTATCCCTTCTAAGATGACTCATTGCTCGCCCTTTGGTTGAGAGACTGTTGGTACCTCCTAGACCTACCCACGTAGGACTCCAGGACCTAGCTTCTCCTGACCTGGGTTGATGAGTGTACAGAAAGTATCTTTTATGGCATCTAATCTTTAATTCTTTCACAAAGAATATTTCCCCTTAAGGTTAAACCTGAAGTGTAATTTCATATCTCTGGATCTCTTGATTTAAAGAAAAATCGAGGAACCGTTTAGCTAAGCAAGAAGAGTTTAGATCAGAGAACAAGATCATCTACAAAATTACTCCAGCCAAAAGCCTGCAGGCCCATTTTCGTCTCCAACTTCTTCTTCCCTGTCCACTTGCAATTAGTCCCTTAAGTCTGAAATGACTTTCAAAATTTTCCCATCTTCTCATGTTGGCTTAGTTCAGAACTTTTCAACTCGCCGCCACCACTGCTAAGTGCCTTTTAAAGGACTTCCCAGTCTAAGTCTCTCCTCTCTCCAATCTGTCATCCAAATTGCCCCCATCATAAATAAGGCCATGCCCTTTTCCTCTTAAATCTCATCAATGATTCTACATTGACTAAAGCATTAGGTTCACACAGCTCTTCGGAATTTGGTTCCCAACCTATTTCCACCCTCCTCTTAGTCTCATCCTTCATTAGGCTTCCTTCCCAGGTGGCCTATACTATGGATGGAAGGAAGGGAAAAGTAAGAAGAAGCAAAAAATCTCCTTGCCATTCCCAGAATACACCAAGTGGGATTTCTTACCTCTGTATCTTTGCATATGCTCTTCTTTCCACTTAAAATCCATTTGCTCTCTCCCAAAAGAATGACACAGTCTCTGTCACTTTGTATTATAATTTTTCTACCTCTCTCTTCCTCACTGAACTGATCTCTTGAGGAAACATATTATTCTTTACTTATCTTTACAGTTCTAGAGACTATCAAACTCCTGAACACTCAGTATTATCGAAACTAAACAAATGGTCCCATACTGTAATCTTAAAACATTTTTTAAGGAACAGTTTGTTTACTAGAGACTACTAACCCAAAATATAAATTCTCCATCTAGTTTCATAGGAAAACAATTTATATTCTTAAACCATTTTCTGCAATCTGTTGAACCCCAGGAAGTGACATAAGCCTCATAACTGCAACCAAATTAATTTTCCTAAAGATCAACCTGATCATAGTTTCTTGGCTTAAAACCACATGTCATTTCTTGGCTTCCTTTCTTGTGCTGAGAAAGATAAGGTCCAAATTTGTTTACTGGCTACCAAGGCCCTTTGAGATTTGGGAAATTAGCCTATCTCAATTTTCATTAATGTGTTCATATATTCTCTGCCTGCATGAGTTACTCCTTGGACTGGTTCAATTCTTTCCTTGCTCCAACCTCTTCTCCCTGACTCCTTCCACCCATTTCCCTTGCCAAATCATTCTCATCTTTCAGAACTAGTGTAAATGCATCCTTACCCATGAGGACTTCTCTGATCTTCCCAACTAGGAGGACATACTCCATTTTCTGAACTCCAGTAATAATTATCCCTCTCCTACATGATTAGCAATCGTGTAATACTTTGTATTAGACCAATGATCCTTAACCCTGGCTGCTCCTTAGAGTCACCCGAGAAGTTTTTTTAAAAATACTGATAACCAAGCCCCACCACAGACCAACTAGTAAAATCAGAAACCTTGAAAATACAGCCCAAATATTAGTACATTTTTAAAACTCCCTAGGTAACTATAATGTGAAATCAAGGTTGAGAACCATTGTATAAAAGTTGTTGGTATACGTTCCATCCAACTTAATGGTATACAAACTTTGACATACCTTAATAATCATCATATTATCAAACACACGATAATCTGTTCAGTAAATATTAGAAGAAGGAAAGAAAGAAAAAGAATAAAAGACGGTTTCATACTACTTAAAAAGTAAATACTTAAATTATTTTGTTCTCCTAAATACGTGGAATGAATGATGAAGGTGCTATCATTTGCATCACCTGTCTTAAAATTCTCAACTACAGTAAACAAGAAAGACAAAACCTCATTACTAATGAAGCTAATTAGCTTTCCCATCATTTTCCATATGGGAGAAAGAGTATTTTCCATCATTTGGAAATCAAATATTTACCCCAATGAGGTATTATTCTCAGGAAACATGAGGATGCTAAAATGTGCATTATAGAATACATTCTACTTAATGGGGTGGGGTGAGAAGGATCTCTGCTAATTATAGGTAAGACGAAAGATGAAAAAGAAATTCTGAAAGAGAATTCTAAGCACGTCCCTAGTTATGTGTTAAATGGTGGCAGAGAGAAGTGTAAGATGCAATTTAGAAAAGGAGCTGGGTATGGTGGTGTGCACCTATAGTCCCACCTACTGGGGAGTCTGAGGCAGGAAAATCACTTGAGCCCAGTAGTTCAAGGCCAGCCTTGGCAATATAGCAAGATTCCTATCTCTTAAAAAAGAAAAAAAATCATGCCCAAATTTCTTAGTCACAGATTAAGAGGAGATGAGGAACACAATAATAAACTTGTAGAAACGTTAGAATAAACCTAAAGAAAAAAATCTTGTTTAAATAGAATGTTTAACCAGCAAAGAGGTAGGAAAGTTCTGAGGATTTCTGTAACCTACCTAACCCACCTGATGTAAGGCTTCACTGATATCATGAGTTGCTATACTTTTTTTAAAACAACCATTTTATTAAGATATTTTTCATGTTATAAAATTTATCCTTTCAAAGTATATAATTCAGTGTGTTTTAGTATTCACAATTGAGCAGCTATCACCACTATCTAATTTCAGAACATTTCCATCACTCTATAAAGATATCCCATCCTCCTCTTCCCTGCCCTGGGCAATCACCAATCTTTTGGTGCCTATATATTTGCCTATTCTGGACATTTCATTTAAATGGATTCACATAACATGTGGCCCTTTTGTATTTGGCTTCTTTCATTTAGCACAATGTTTTCAATTTCATTTCTTTATATTGTCAAATGGCAGTCCATTGTATGGGTATACCACACTGTTAATTATTTAGTAATGATTTATTAGGACATACAGCCACTAGGAATCTGAGGATGAAAAAAATCCTTATTTTCAAGAAATTCAGTAAGTTTCAAGAAGTGGGAAGTACATAAAGAGGATAACATAGCAAAGGCAGATTTAAGGAACCAATGCTCTATAAAGTTCAGAATGGAAAACGGAGTTGCAAAGATAGGCAGGGGCCAGACCGTGACAGGTATGAGAGGCCTTGATGCCATGCCAAGAAATATGGCAGGCAATGGAGAATGCTTCCTATAGGAACAGCCTTCCCACCACTTCCTTCTTTCACATCCTCCAGTGTCTACAGATAGGGACCCAAACACACACCCACACTCATCCCAACTACATAAATTACTATGCCATTCTTCAGAGCCACTTTCCATCAAGTATTCTCTGATCATCCATGTCAGCAAGTAATCTTTATCTTTACAACCTCTAACCATTTTTTAAAATACCTTTTTCATCATATTATAATATACCGACATATACTAGTACAACTGCAATCTTCCTGCTGGCTGTACTTAAGAACAAGGACAGTATTAGGTATTTCGGAAACCTCAGCAGTGTAACTGCTAAATGAATAAATGGATAAATTTAATAAATTTGATTAAAAGCAAGTCTCCAGGAGGATGTAAACACAGAACCGCTAGTTTCAGTGAAGAACGTGGGTATGGAAGTAAAAATATAGAACACAGATAAAAGAGGCAAAAGCCCAAAAACAGAGATGAGAAATGTCACTGGCAGCTGGAAGAGAAGAAATAAACAGGGGTAATAATAGCTATTGAGTACCTGCTGTGTGCCAGACAAAACACCAGGGCTTTATCACATTTAATTTTCTCAACCTATGAAATAGGTATTATTAGCTTCATTTTACAGAAAAAGAAACAAGCTTTCTTGAAGGTAACAAATCAGTGGCAGAAACAGGATTCTACAAACTATGTTTAACTGCAAAGGACATGTGCAGTCGAATCTGTCACACCACCACCCTACTTTCCTGTCTTAGGATTGTACCTAAAATTCACAAAGATAAGCTGTTGTTTTTATCTCTGATTTAAAAACACACAAGAAAGACTATACTTTCAGGGATTTATTTCTGTGGTTCATAAAAATATACAAGTATACAGCTAATTATATCTTGAAATACACTAGTCTTAGTCACACTGTCAATACATTCTATATTCAAAAGTGATTAAAATGGATTCTTAATCACTGCTCTTTAAGAAAAAAATCCACGAAAGTTTCCTAATTTTGCAGCCAGCAAATGAGCATTATTTTGAAAATTATATAAGGTGTCTTTGGATATAAGTAAAATATTTCAAAATTTACTAAACTAAGCAACTTCCTTTATTCACTCCCAGTCTGACTCAAAATTTGTCCTGAAACTGACAGAAGCATTTAAGCACAGTATTATAACTAAAGGCAAATGTCAGAAAATAATTTAAATCCCCAATTATTTCTATTAATATTACTTTCCATAATATCTGCAATTATTAGTAACTAGATGAGGATTTTTAAAATGGCTTTCTTACTACAAGGTTATCATGAAATTTATCAATATTGTATTCAAGGGCAATGATAAATGGTTAGTAAATGAAATACTGTTTTAGTGATACTACTCTGGGGGATGAGATCTGCTACATGTATTTAACAATTGCAAACAAAAAAGAAAGCTTAATGCAAAAATCTATCTATTTAAACAGCAAATAAAAACTATTATAAAACAAATGCACAAGCACAAGCAGGGTTGGTGTATCATCTATGCAATTAAAAAGTGGCCCCAAATCTATGTCACTTAAAGTAAAAAAGTTGCAGCAGGCAAAAGAGCTCCTCAAACAATTATTTCTTGCTTTTTCTGAGCTATCTTAATGATATCAAATACTTTTGAATAACTTTTACCAATTATAATTGTTGTGTTGAGAGTTTTGTTTTCAAAATACACAAAATGATGCTAAATATTTGAAATTACAGTCAACGGAGCTATTTCTGCCTGCCTACACTTGAGACTCACCACATGTTCAACACTTTCTGGCAGCTATACACACACAAAAAAAAAATACAAGGAAAAAAAAGAGAGACAGAGAGAGAGAATCAGAAACAGCCCACATTGAAATTATCACATTGTTTTTCATACTTAATTTTTTCCAAGCAATGTTTTTATAATTTATGTTTTGAAAAACTAATTCAAAATATTAAAACATGCATTTTATAAAGTTAATATTTATTCTTATGCTTACAGAAAAAAGACTGATAGTACATCAATAACTTCCATGCATCAACACTCCTAAAACTCAAAAGCTAAAAATAACGCTGTCAATTCTAAATAAGAATTTGAACACAGTTCTTAAATATTTTGTATTATTAAAATATTTACTGGAATAGAACTGTTTTAAACTTATTCTAGTGATTAAAATAATTAAGTATACCACTTGTTTTGCATGCACCTATTCCCTAAAAAAAATTTCCTGAAATAATTGTATGTAACTATAAATCTCAAACATGCATAATTTAAAAACAGAGAGTTACTAAAACAAGTAAAATAAACACATACTTGGTTTCATCCATCACTTCTACTTCAGTAGGGGCTGTGATGGGTGCATTTGAACGTCCTGCGGTGGGGTCATCTGTGTTTAACTCTCCATTTGTAGAACTTACAACCTGTTTAAAAAAATTTTTTATATATATACATATGTACACACACTCATAAATATACATACATACTAAATAGGTTATACAAGGATAAACATAATTAAGGTTAAAGTATTTCAATTAGAAAGTTAATGTGAGGAACAAAACAATAGGTAGCAACATGTTCATAACTAAATACAGTAATAGGTCTAGCATTGTATTAAAGATCAAGGTCATCTAAAATGTGCTTTTCAACTTACTTCCTTTCCTTTTCGAAATCTCTGTCTTCCGTCTCCTTCCCTCTGGTTTTTAAGGCTAACTCCTACATGTATGTCTCAATCAGTTTCCTCTTGTGTGCCTATGTCCTTTGGCACCTTGCTATATCATGAATTACTTTCCTTGAATATTGAAAACTTCAATATTACTCCTTCTAATGGACCCTTCACTTCAATCTGCAATTATGCTCAAGTCTCCATTTCAAACCGCCCGTTTAAATAGACAACACCATCATTCACCCAGTTGTTCAAATGTAGGGGTCACTGTGATTCCTCTTTAACTTAAAACCCACATCTAATCCATCAATGGCAGATCCTGTTAAATCCTTCTCCAAACATATCCCATATCTAATAAGTTCTTACCATCTCTATTAATACAAGGACTCCAGTCCAAGCCACTATGATATCTTATGTGATTAAGAGCAAAAACCTATTATCTAGTCTTCTGCTTTGTCCCCCACTCAAAAGTATTGTCCACACAGCAATCAGGGTGCTCCTTTTAACATGCAAATCACATCACATATAGCTCCCTGCTTAAAACTCTCCAACTGTTGGCTTCCCGTTTCACTTAGAATAAAAAATCTATACTCCTTACACAAATTGACAAAGTCCCACATGATGTGATGCCTGCCTACCTCTCTGATCTCACATCACCTTCTCTGAAGCTCACTAGCCTCCATCCAGTATGTCAAGATTCTTCCCACTTACAGGCCTTGGCATTATCTATTGTCACTGCCTAGAATTCTCTTCCTACTTATTAGCTGACTTCTCATCTTTCAGATTCTCAAAGAGCATCTCTGAGACAGGCCTTTTCTATCACACAGCTAAAAATGTCTATGCTGACAGTCTTTTATGTTACACCCTATTTTAAATTATCTGTAGAGTATTTATCAGTGTTTGTGTTTTTCTTACCCGCTTGCTCATTTATTTGTTGTATTTCTTGACATCCGTCCCTACCTCCATCAAAATTAAGCTCCAGGGAAACAGAGACCTTGAATTGTTTCCTGCTACGCCTGGCACAGAATAGGCACTCAATAAATATTTGTTGAAATAAATGAATGCATGTACGCATGAATGAAATCCTGAAACAAGATAAAAATCATGCGGAAATTCCCAAATTCTCCCAAATTCTCTTGTTTCCGCAAATTCACCTTATTGTCTTTTTGGAAAAAAAGTATATAACTCACCACTTCCATTTTTATAAAATTTTCCATGTGTTTATTCCTTTACTCCTTGCAATCAGTTCTCCAACCCTACATAAGAACCCTAATAAGAGTTATCTTAAAGGTTACCAAAGATTCCTAGAAAATGTATTCAGGACACTCTGCTCGGTGCCTCATTTTCTTGTACATCAAATCACTTGGCAATCGCTGAAAATTCTGGAGTAAGATGGGTCTAGACTCAAAGCCTAGCTCTACCACTTACCAGCTATGAGACTCTGGGAAAGATACCTTACCTTGCTAAACCTTAGTGTTCTCAAGTATGAAATGGTGAACAGCAGCATCTAATTAACAAAGCTGACACGAGGGTGAGATGAGATCAATATATAAATGTCAACATATAAAGCACAGTGCCTGGCATATGGGAAGAGCTCAATAAATGGTGGCCATCATTATCACTATGTTTCATCTATAATCATGGCTTCAACTATCACCTCTAGGTAAAGGACTCCCTAGCCCTAACCACTCACCCATATCTTCAGTTTGCTAAGCCAAGTTTGGCACCTCAAACTCTGCATTTCTGAAGGAAAATTTATCCTACTCCCTCTGAAATGTATTGCTCTTCCCATGACTCCCATTTCAGTTAAAGCCCTCCCATCTTCTAGACTTCCAGACTCAAAAATCTAAGAATTCTCTTTGATGCCCCTCCTACTCACTACCTAATCTCTTTAAATGAAATAAAAGGTCAGCAACACTGGCATGGGCAACAGAGTTGGCAACTGACTATTAGACTTAAAAGTAGTATTTATAGTACATTATATTTTTAAAACTTAATTAAGTTCTTACTTTAGTCTACAACACGCTAGGCACTGTTCTAGGTATTTGGAATACCAAAGTAAGCAAGATAAACATCCCTGTCCTTGTAGACCTGACACTTTAGTGTGGAGAAACAAGACCCTCTCCATTTCCAAGGAAAGTATTAATAACTACAAATCAGCCAACATATTTGAGTTAACTTAGGAATAGTGGAAATTCAGTTTCCTATATCCTATATGGAGTAAGTACTTAGAAATGAACACTGCATTTGTGCCTACAGCTGAAAACACACAAAACTGCCTTGATAATCTTCAAAGGCAATCTAAAGAAAAGAATACTCTTACATCTAAGCATGCCTCTCCTTTTCTGGGGTACTTGCTTCCTCCTTTCTGTCATTCTATTGAGTTGTAAATTTTTTCTCTTTATTTCTCTCTCTCTGAAAACATTTAAAAATAATTATCTGTTCTAATTATTGAACATAATTTGGTTCTTTATTCTTAATTTTGAAAATGTCAGAGCCTCTGCACTAAATTGGAAAGGAGATAGAAAGCAGTATTCTTATCTCACATATTCTCCACTACCTTGAACAGAGTACATGTATCCAGTACATAATCAAACAGTTCACTGAACAATTTCCACTGCTCTTTTCTCAACATACTATTCAACAGGTTTCTTAGTCTCCCTTTTGTTCAATGGCCCTAGAAAGGTAGAGGGATGCCACCTCAACTTACAGGCAGCTCCTCTGACACGTCTTCCCTTATTTTAAGCAACATAACTGAAAATTTTAAAACCCAGGTAGTCTAAATTCTAGCAACATTAATTACAACACATTTTCTAGCAACAGTGACTATATATACACTGCAATTATATAATCTGATTTACTTCAGTTCACAGAGGAAGACTTTTTATACCTGACTTTGGTAAACTTTATTTTATTGAAATGTTTCAAATCCCATTTTACCTGGTTGACCAGAACCAGACCAGAAAGAAGCAACATCTTCCTTTAATGTAAATATTCCAGGGTTTCCCAGATTCCCCAATCCTCTGAGTAGAGACTAGTATCCCAAGCTCAGAATAGAATCACTGTGGTAACAGAGTTAAGATAGGATATTGTTGTTGACCTTCATAAAACTGGCCTATTTAACACCAGTGACTTGAGACTGTATCATGGCATTAAAAGTATTTTCACTTAAAATTTGTGCCTTTTTGCAAAAGGGTTTTACAAAGAAGTAATGAAGATATAATACTGTAAATAATATATCATTATATTCCTGGAAGGCTAAAACAATCAAGTATGTACAAATTTTTTTATAAGCCAAATTCTAAAGAACAATTCTACTTAAGTGACATTTCTAGAATTATAACTTGAACTAGAAGATGAGTCTCTGAAATACTAGTGTACATCAGGCTGATTTCTTAAAAGTATATAAAAATGGCAGATATTCTGAGGTTTGACATTTCAAAAAATAATTCAGGCATTATACAGGATTGTTGTTGTTCTTAAAAAAAAATTTCCTCTGACATTCTCAATTTGACAAGAAACTTACTACAGTTCTTATTTTAAGAAGATTTAAAAAAAAAAAAAAGGCAACTAGACTCCAGTTTTACTGTCAGAATTTAAGAGGGCTATTGGAGAAAGAGCTCACAAGCAAGTCTGAGACATAATCGTAAACTTAACAGATGCCTGACAAATCCAATTCCAAAAGATGTTATTCTTATAGACTTTATAGAGTACAGACATAACACATAGTATCTTTATTGTCAATGATTTTTAAAAGCCAATTAATGTACTTTCCAAATATAATGAATTCATACACATTAGTTATACTACTGTCTTCCTAACTGCTTTTTTTGTTTTGTTTTTGAGATGGCGTCTCATTCTGTCACCCCGGCTGAAGTGCAGTGGCACAATCTTGGCTCATTGCAACCTCCGCCTCCCGGATTCAAGCGATTCGCCTACCTCAGCCTCCCAAGTAGCTGGGATTACAGGTGTGCACCACCATGCCCGGCTAATTTTTGTATTTTTAGTAGAGATGGGGTTTCATCATGTTGGTTAGGCTGATCTTGAACTCCTGACCTCAAGTGATCAACTGCCTCAGTCTCCCAAAGTGCTGGGATTACAGGCATAAGCCACCACGCCCCGCCTGTCTTCCTAATTTCTATTTGATATCCTGTAAGCAAGATTAACAAGTAGAGCCTTGATACAATGTATGAATTTACCAAATATATTAATTAGCCAAATTCTTATCTATCCAATCATCTATTAGAAATTCTAAAACATTATATATTTATGTATTCAACTTTTTTAAAAGGCATCTATAAGAAAGCATACTAATGAGATATATTAATAGTTAAAAGAGTGACTTCAAATAATTTCCTGAACCTGTGTTACAGTATACATATACTATATGAAACCAACTTCTTTACATATCCTAAAGACTAAAGGCATAATTGGTATTCTTGGTATTGCAAAAGATGACCCTAAAGCACAGTGACATGCTCACAAACTTTCAACAAAGATAAGCCAAAATGGATTTTCAATTAACTCTCACTCAGGATAATTATTTTCCTTGATCATCACAGTCTTCAGAGATGTTACTGTAAATGTTAATGCAAAAAAAATAAATAAATTCATAATACTGATTTACCCCAATGATAACAGATAAGGAATTTCCTAAACTAGATCAAAGGAGATGAACTACAATTTATGTAATAAAGGCATATAACTATACTCCTTCCACAACCTCTCTTTTGCAGATTTCAGTACCCCAGAAAACTACGAATAGAAAGATGTGATTGTAATAGTCACTAGATTTTGTTCCTTGTTAATAACTGCATTTTCAAATATTTTATAGACTAAAACTAGTATTAGAAATGTTTTAGAAAGGTCAGTATTCACAATTAATGTAATTGAGATAATGGTATCTACTATTCCTCTCGACTTTTAATCACGTATATTTTATTATCATCTCAAGATACATTTGCCTAATCCTTTTCGGTTATCACCAGCTGTATTTTTATTTGTTCTGATGCTTCATCGGCTGAAAGATCAGACTGCTTATTACAACAATGAATGTTATTCTTTCGTTTTCCTCAACAATGCCTGGTTGCACAACATATATGCACCATTTGTAATTCTGCCCCTTTTTCTCCCAAGTGCTCAGAGTCATACTATTCGTTAGATTCAAACCAAAGATTGTACAACTATAAGAGATTTCCGAACAATCAGGAGGTATTCAAGTACATGTACATAGTACAAGCATGTAAACAATTTTTCAGCAGTGTCCTTAATATTTGTCTTTTTACCTTTGCTTACAGTTGCCTCTATACAGGATCAGATTTTCAGTTGGCACTGAGCTCAATGGATTTGTGCTACAGTGAAAAGCACAGCTAAAATGGAATTAGAGATTACTACTATCTGTTGTCAGTGGTATATTTTAAAACCTAATTTTGGGGATTTTGATTTGCCATGTAGAAACGTATCAAAAAGGGGTAACAACGGGAACTTTTCCTCAGGCCCATACCCAACTAAACTCAACCTTCTAATTCTTTTCAAGGTCTTTCATTTCTTGTTATCCCCACTACTCAATATTTTTCCTCAACTACAGACTTTTGACAGCTGTATCCCTTATTTAGACTTGTCTCCTTTCAATCTAGTCTCCAGCAAAAGCAATCTTTAGAAAACACTAATCAAACTTGGTCTCCCAATCCCTTATGGCTACCCATTATCCTCAGAATAAAGCCAAATTTAGTAACAAGACCCGGTAGATCCTTCATGATTTACCTCCAGCATACCTTCTCAGTCTCATTTCTCAACACACACCAGCTTGACTAAATCAGCTTCTCAATATGTCTCTCTCGCCACCTTATTCATATTGTCTTCACTGCCTGGTATACTCCTCTCTTGACCCCTTCTATCTTCTTCAGTTGATTAACTCCCACTGATTCTTTATGTCTCAGTTTAGATGTCACTTTCCCCAGAAAGTCTTGACTCATCCAGGTTAGGTGCTTTTCCTATCAACTCTCCTAGTACCCTGTGCTATCTCCACGTATCACCCTGCGTGTTCATCAGCCTTCTCCACTGACTTCTTTATGGACACAGGCACTATGTCTTTATACACTTCTTTTCATTCAAAAAAACTTAGAAGAGCCTAGCATATAACGAACACTTAGCTATTTGCTGAGTAATGAATGGCCAAGACACTGAATGTGGTTAAGTCTGAGTTTCTCAGCCATATTTATTATTACCAATGATTCTAAGAGAGAACCAAGAGGGGCACACTTGATTCCCCTAGGGGTTTTCCAGAACACAGGCTGATATAAAATAAAGTTTTTAGATATTTGAATATTATTCTTATTCTTATTCTCGTGAATGGAAAAAGTTTATCGAATGTACAGCTGTATCTTTTTAGCTACTGACTTAATATGATTGAACTAAAGAGATAAAATTAGAAAAATCCCATTCATCAATGCTTTCTTTTGACTATACCTCTAATACTTCACTTCCCAGAGATCAATAAAACTACTACTCAAGTTTCTTAATTTGCAAAAACAATAGATTCTACTTATCTAACACTTCCTAAGCCTCAAGCTCTATGTTAATTACTCTTTAAAATTTTCACAACAAAACCATAAGGTAGAGGAATTGTTAAAATCCTCATTTACTAATAAATAAACTTGGCACAGAATTTGAACTCAAATCTGACTGCAGAGCTTGGGCTCTTAACTGCAACATCATCAACTTGGTAACTCTATGTCTGGTCTGCTATACAGTAATTCTGGAAAGGTGGGGAGTTCAAATTTAGACTCTGCTGGTAATTTCCACTAAAAGTACATGTGAAATAAATATCTGAGGATCTTTCCATAGGTCAAAAATGGCAAGAGATTTCATCTTATATGTCAACTCTAAAGAGCTTGGAATGATTTTCAGTGCTGCACTGACAGCAAAGATCAGTCCCAAGGAAAAGACTGCACTGATGAGGAGTGAAAGCCATAGTTTTACCAAAGGCTCATTTTAAGTAACTGTTGATTCTGTTTCTGGATATCCTAAATCTGTATCACATTTCAACACCAGACAGCTACCTATTAATTATGGAAATGTCTTTCCTAAAATATCTATTTGATGATATACTCTTAGTATGTTTGTTATGAATAATTTAATTGCCATATAAAGTCTTTGCCTCTCCTACAAAGCCAATGCTTGAAAGTTTGTTCAACAGGTGATTTAATGATCACTGCACAAAGAAGCCCAAGGCAAATTCTTCTCATACTTTTGTAGTACTAAAAAGTTTTTTTCTCTATTTCTCCTCCATCAGACAATGAGAGTAATATTAATAGAACATATTGCTTCCCTTTCTGCCTTCATTTAGAAACAAACATAGTATTCAATTATAATAATATTAGTTCATATTTCAGGTACTTTTCTTTGGTCTTATTATGTTTTAATTTATAATTTCATTAGTCCAGTTACACAAGGGTCATATCATAAATTTTCAAATAATTTTGAAAGTGTACAGGACATAAATTATAAATGAATTCAGTCTTTATTTTGGAGTGGGAAGGATTCAGGCATGATCCTACTTAGGCTGTCATATTAGTCCATCATATCATGTGTCAGTTAATATTATAAAATACATGAAGTCAATGAAAATACTATTCTTTGTTTTACCTATGTATTTATGTATTACTAGAAATTTATTAAGTTGATCACTTATTGAATGTTAGGATGAAGTCCGACGTAGTCTCAGTAGGCTGAAAACTCTTAGAAATAATGAGAAATGAGCAATGTTCAAACATCTCTGTGAAAACATGTGAAACAATAAACACGAAGTAGTGAAATAATGAGTGAATAATGAAATTCATTGACCCTTTGAGCCACCTCAGGGAATCACATACGAGTAAGAAGAGGCTAAGAAAATAAATCTGGTAATGGTACAGAAATGGTAGGACAATTTTCTAATAGTGCCTTAACTGTTGCACTGAGTGAAACACTTGCACACATACACACAAACTTAAAAACATATGAACATATATAGATATGTACAAAATATAGTTTGTGTTATGCAAATAGAACATAATTTGCTTGGTTAGCTTTTCTAACTATATGAATTGAGGTCATAAAAATTTTTACAATTTAGATACCCTTGCCTCTAAGTCCTTCACCCTAGACTTTTATAGATCTACTCAAATAAGTCTACCACACATTACTGAAAATTCCATGAACTACAAAAGTCTACAAAAGTACTTGATTATATAATTTAAATTACCTCTAAAATTTAATGGTGAGAAAGACTTGAGAGCTCATAAGATTTAATTTTTAGAATTCAAATCAAGAAAGAATAGAATCCAGAGTACAGAATCAGTTGATTAAATATATACATTAAGAAAAATGCAAATTTGATAAAATTGCAAATTATTCAGGTGAAAATATGTAAAGAAAAAAATAAAAATGTAAAAAAAATCCTAAATTGAAATGTACTGAGATAACATTTGTTATCTCACTTACTTTAAGCTTTTAGATTACCTAAAACTAACGTTTTAAAAGACAATACGAGACGCAGCAATCTTTCCCTATTTCTACAATATACATAAATGATTAAAATTTACGGGGCAATGGAGGGCTGAGTACCTATAAGTAGCTGTCTCTAAGTGTATAAAAAAGGTGAAAAGAAACAAATCATAAATAAGGGAGTGCTTTAAATTTATCTAAAAAGGCACACAATTTATTGACGGGAGTATTAAACATTTGTCATCAAAATTTCTATCTCATATTTTTTATAAGTACAAACAAAACATGCTATTATAAAAATTAGGGTCATGTTTATTTGAACAATTAATCAGAAAGTATATTCTGAGTACTAAGGATGAAAAAAGATATTTAACTGATTAAGTTTAAAGGAGGCAAAGTCAATGAATGGGAAAAAATACAAAAATGTTCTATTAATTAAAGCATTAAAAAGACTGATCTTATTATTGGAAAGTCAAGTTTAATACCTATTTCAAGCATAATACTGTTTGTTTTTCTAATCTCCTGTATGACTTAAATATTGTTGCATATAGTTGCAAAAATGAACAAAGGAAAAATCTTGGTATTCCTGATGGTCTTTCTAGACCACGTTAATTTTGGCTTTTCTGGTTAAATAACAAAGGAATAGAATTATGGCTAGAGAAGTTCAGCAACAAATTTTCCATTAAGATATGAAATCATGCCATGAGTTCCAAAAAAAAGGGTTAGTTGTATAAATCTGGGTAATAATCACTCATGCAAAAATCAGAAAATACCTGTACCGAGCCACCATGTCTGTCTGCTGCAAGGTGAGCTCTCAAATGGTGGGGATTTGCCTGCTGGGAGTCCCAAGCTGCCCTGTGGTCTGCCGACTGCCATTTATTAAATGCATATGGCATGCATGGAAGAAGAAAAACCCAATATGTTAAACATCTTATCCTCATAATATATAAAACAAATGTATAAAAGGAAATTTAAAATACCCTTACTATTCTGAATCACGGTGCAGTTATCTTTGTATACAGAATGTGGAGTGATTTTAGCTAAGTTGTCAAATTGTGTAATGATCAACAATAAAAATAAAATAGAACCATAAAATTTTAGAAGTAAAAATACCTTAGAAATCACAGACTCTACCCTCTAGCTTTATAAATGAACTAACAAAGAACCAGAAAGGTAAAAATGCCATGACCAAGACAGAACTCCAAATAAATCATGGGCACACTAGAAGCCCACCCGCTATATTTTTACACAGTAGAGGTCATCACTGGTTTTCTGAGGAGGAGCTATTTCTAGCAAGGTACAAATGATAGCCCTTAAATAACTGTACCTGAGATTCTAAAAATATTTTCTCTCTTGCTTAGTCCCTCATTTCTGATTGTGAGAATAATATGAGAAAACAGAAAAGTTCTTTGAAAAGGGAGAAGCACTATACAGAATACTATCAGAATATGACAAAACAAACATTTTTTTTCCTAAGTGATAATCTTATACATATAAATCTCTTTGCTTCCTTGATCTCCTTTTATCTGGTTCAAATTAAGGAATCCATGTCTATGAAATAATCTGAAAACTCTTGATGTTTTTAGATCCCTTGGCAAATTTGCATGGCAATAACAAACCAGTAAAATTCATAATCTACCAGTAAAATTAAGACTAGTATCTTAATAGGGGTCAACTTCTGTTTCAGGAAAATGTGGACAACACTAATAAAAAGTAGGGAGAAGAATATACTTCTTAAGCTTTATTACATGTGTGGTTCTGAATTAGCTGCTTTATATTTTATCGTATTTTGAGGTAGATATTATCATCACCTTTTACTGATGAAGACAGTGAGACATTAAGCACTTCCCTACAGTCACAGACCTAGCAAGGAGTACAAGAGGAATTCCAACTCAGAGCCTAACGCTCTTCCAGTAATACTACCCAGCTCCTTACCAAAATTAAATACATTCTAAAGCCTTCAGTACTCTTTTCTTTCTTTCTTTCTTTTTCAAACAAAGTCATGAAAATCTTGCCACAAAGTGCCAAGCATATTGGAGTATAGGGACCCTCCAGCATATTGTTGGCCAGAGCAACCTTAAGGGGAGAGATGTAAAATTCAAGTAGACACATGAATAAATGCTCTGGCACTAAGCTTCCTAAATTGTACACTGCAAAATTACATACTCTGTGGCATAAAGTATGTCATCAAAACAATGATAGTTCTATAATGTCTTTTCATTAAACCCTCCAAATTCATAACCAGAATTAAGCAGATTTGTAGCTTAAGTTGAAATCAATCAGATGAAGTCTAGAAAAGATTAAAGAATAAAAATGATGCTAAAATTGAGACAAATATCTAGGGCAATCAGCAATATTTTAGGGTCGTGGAATTCTCTAAGAATATAGTAAGAGCTACACGTTCTCTCCTGAAAATAAATAATTACAGGTACCCCACAATTTCAGGATCCCCTCAACTTAAATTTATCATTTGTCTGGGGGAATTACAAGGTTTAAGTCATTTGAAATAATCTTTCTTCCTCTGGGATTGTGAACTGTGGGTTTCTCGTAGAACTTAAGCTGCTTAGTGGTCTAGAGATATTTAAGAAGAGTTATTTTTAGACATACAACTTTTCTATCATGATGAAAATCTGTATATTCACATCCCAAATTCAATACATAAGGCTATCCTAAAGAATTGCCTACAAATTATATATATACATATATATACATATATACATACATATACATATATACACATACATATACATACACATACACATACATATACACACACATACACACACACACACCCTACATTTAGTGCAACAAGGACTGGACAAATGAAATGGTTCTCACTCTCAGTGAGCTTACAATCTAGTTAGCAAGACATGTCTGAAACATGTAGAAAACTAAAAATCTAAAATATTAGATTTATAATTTAATTCAACAATAGAGGAATTTCACTTATTATAATACCTAACAGCTCAAGTGGAGAATTTCTAGGAATACCATATTAATCTTCTTCCAAGTACATTCAAGGAATTAAGTCTGGTTTATAAAACACATACTAAGTCTCAACTTCTGAGCCATTTCTTTCTTTATACAGAATCTTTTCACAGCACTCCAGCTGTCAACTAATTCTAATTTATATATGAAGTAATTTATGTATGAGATGCTTTATAGTACCAATTTTTCTAAGTCAAAAATGTAATATTAATCTTTTAAAATTGGCCATGATTTACAGCATAATATTGTTAAACACTCCCTAAAATGCAGCATTTTATTTTGCTATGATTTTTAACAAGTGGTGTTCTTTTTTTGATTTTCATCCTGTTTTTATCTTTAATCTTCACTTAAACTTTGATGGGATAAACAATATAAAAGTAAAAAAGGATGGCACGCTATCCTTCTCCAGAAAGGATTGTAACAGAAAATTTCTAGCCACTCCTTAACTCAGCATGATAGCAAAATTTTTAAGTCAAAGCTGTCTTCAATAAAACTTTCTTACCAAAAAAAAAGAGAAAGAGAGAGAGAGAAATTAAAACACTGCCCAAAATTTCAACAGCTTTCCATTCCTTTACCTGGCCAGGAAACATGAACTCTCTACTTGATCAACTTCTACGCTTTATCTCAGACTGACTCTCTACTCCCTCTCTAATCCATCTCTACCTACTCTCTGCTCCAAACAAATTGAACCACTTGCTATTCCTCAAATTCTCTATTTTTAAACTTCTGCTTCATATTTTATATTATTCACTCTCCCCAAAATGCCCTTATTTCTTCATTTCCCTTTAAAAATTCCATTCATTCCCTGGGTTTGTGTCAAAAGCTACCTTTTCCATAAAATCTTCATAGAGCCCCACATATGATCTCCTCCATGGCACTTTATTAGTGCTTCGTGTAATATAACTTATTCTCTTTTTAAATATAGTTATTTCTGTATTTATTATAATAACAATAGTAACAGCAGACACAAGAGTTTTGATTGAATGAAAGCTTACTGTATGCTATAAATTAACATGCATTGTTTCCATTTTATAGATGAGGAAACTGAGGCTTTGAGAGATTAACTTATTTGTCCAGGGTCAAACCATACCCATGTATGCCTGATTCTAGAGAATTGAGTGAGCTCTTAGCTACAATACTGCTTTTAGTCACTGGTGACAAAATCATTCTTAAAGGTTATACATTCTTCTTTACTTTTGAATTTCTATAATGTGTAGAATAGTAGCTTTACAATAGCAGAAATTCAATAAATAATTTACTGAACTAAATTACAGTTAGAAAGATCAAGTGCTATTACAATTCATTCCAATAGGGTATCCAAATACTCCCATTCTAACAGAATATCAAATATTGCTCAGTTTACACTAATTTGTACCATTAATTAGGGATTTATGATTAAACATTCTAATGCTATTATTAAACTAATAAACAGTGAAAATTAAGAGAAAATAGTTTATCTATTAAAAATATGTATTTTCAATCCTTCAGTATGTTTTATCTATTGAAGAAAAAAGTGTATTTTTCAATCATGAAAGGAAGATATTTCATATCTAAAGTGCAGCAAACCTGGTTTTTGGATTGTTGCATCTTATCTCTGTGTTGATGTGCTTCTCTGTTTGATGACAGAGCAGGATCTTGCTGAACTGCACCCACTGGAGTAGGCTACAATACAATAACAATTGGTATCAATACATTCTATTTCAGAAATCTTATTTAAAATCATTTATTTATCTGCTTAAAAGAATTAAGGAAAAAACAAAAGACTGTTAAATAAACTAAGGCTTTAAGTAAAGGCATCATTCTCAAAATAGGTTGTTAAAGCTAAAAAGATAAAGCAAAGAGAATATACCTAGTTTTTAAAGTGTTTTTAAAATATTTAAATTCTTTATAAAGTACTTATTTTTACATCTACAAAAGATCTTCTAATGCTGCCATCACTTTTAGGTTACATTTTCATATCAAAATGATAAAAATGTGTATGTTTATGCCTCTCATTTCCAAAGCAAATGTATAAATAGAATAAATTTTCAAGAAAATTAGAAGAATTTTAAAAAACTATTAAAATTGCTTATTTCCAATATTTTGACTTGAAGAGACTTATACAAATTTTAATTTTCATCAAGGTATTAAAGTATTAAATTAATCATGAGAATATTACACAAAAAGTTATTAAGAACTAAATCAGGATGGAAGTTAAAAGTAACTCTTCATGCTAAAAGGCAAAGAATCCAGATGTAGGTCTTTTGAGAAACTCAAAGAATACTAGTACGGCGCTACCTGCAGAAACGTCCTTTAAAAAACAATAAAATGAATCCTTTAAAACAACTATTTGTTCTCCACTCTTTTCAATTGAAGATACTGTACTATTAAAAAGACAACAGATACTATAAATAATATTTTATTATGTAGAATACTCACCAACTGTTTACCAATCCAGTCATATTCATAATCAAACATATATCCTTTTCGATCAAACAAGTCAGTAAAAAGCTTTCTTAAGTAGTCATAGTCTGGTTTTTCAAAAAAATCTAGCCTTCTTACATAACGAAGATATGTTGCCATTTCTTCTAGAAATAATATAAAAATTATTTGGACTATACTTTTCTTTAATACTCAATAATAAAATTAAGTATCTAAAAGCACATTGTATTATATAAAAACACTTGAAAAGTAACAAAATTATATTGCAATTTAAATTTTTCTAAGTTAAATTACAACAAAATAAAAAAAAGGAAAAGAAGGAAGGGAATATAGACACAAGAAAAATGAGAGGTTTAGTTTAACAACCACTATTTTTGCTTCATTTCGTTAGGAAAAGCTAAAATTTTTATTTTTATAAGATTATTTTTAATATTTGGCAGTATGACAAGTTGAATAAGCAGTTTAATAATGCATGATTAATCACAAAGCATCATATTCAGTTTACAAATCTAAAATTTTATTTAAAATACTGGTGAGAACTGATTTATATGAAAGCATCTGTATTGGCCTGCTAGATTTCCTTTAAAATCAGTGACATATACCAACTAACAAATAGAGAATTCAAATTCCTAACCTTGGTTTTGAGCAGTATTCTAACCAATCAAGCTAACAAAGGAAAGCTAAAACAATCTCAAAAACATAACACAAGAGCACAGTTTAAGTCTTCTCTTAATTTCCAGTCAGATATCTAACAATTATCTGGCAATATACAAATCTCTGCATGCTATTGTAATTCCCAAATGTATTAGATATAAGTATTTTTAAGGGTAATACTTTTCAGAAGGAAAAGAAAAACAAAAAAACAAATATATATATAACAATAGGCAAAATGGTGAGCAATTAGTAAAGCAGGGCATTTCACCATCACTACAGGGCACAGAAAATCACTACAGTAAGAGATGGTAAGTTACACCTAGCATTCACAGGCAGCCCCAGACAGTAGGAAAAAGATCACACCCAGCACAATAAGGCAATAAAAGTGGTATGCAGTGGCCTTCTTTATGTGGTGACTCTCCCACTGTTCCACTTTCTAGCTAAATACCTGGCCAATTTAATTCGGCAAACCCATTTTCCCACCTTTATATAGGCTTCCTTAATGACAACTATCGTATCTTCCTACACCTAAACTGCTAGTACTATTAACCAATATTTTAAAAAATCTACTCCTAGATATTACAGCAAGAAAGAAAAATATATAAAGTTTGCTGTCAATGAATAATATAAACAAGCTTGAGAAAGAGCTACTTTCGTTATGTTGATGATAATATCATTATTACATTAATAATGCCAGCATTATACAGGAGAACCAGGGAATACTAAAGTTAGATAGGAATTCAGTATTTTATCTTCAAATTTAGTTCTTTTCACTTAACGTGGCTGCACAAATAAATCACAGTCGTTATTTTAATATACTAACAAGTTATTCTTATTCCTTAATTGATTTAGAAACCTTAAGTAAATTTTTGTTGGCTTGAGTTGCCATAAATCTACTTGAAAGCAAAATTATTTTCATAAATGCATACAGCTCCCCAATAAAAAATTAGCACAAGGCCGGGCGCGGTGGCTCAAGCCTGTAATCCCAGCACTTTGGGAGGCCGAGACGGGCGGATCACGAGGTCAGGAGATCAAGACCATCCTGGCTAACACGGTGAAACCCCGTCTTTACTAAAAAATACAAAAAAAAAAAAAAAACCAGCCGGGCGAGGTGGCGGGCGCCTGTAGTCCCAGCTACTTGGGTGGCTGAGACAGGAGAATGGCATAAACCTGGGAGGTGGAGCTTGCAGTGAGCTGAGATACGGCCACTGCACTCCAGTCTGGGCGATACAGCGAGACTCCGACTCAAAAAAAAAAAAATTAGCACAAAACTAGTGAGGTCAGTAAGGTTTTACTGGCCTTACTTAATTTAAGTAAGTTTAATTTGAAAACTAAACCAAATCATACTTCATATACCTCCTTTGAGCTTGACATTGAGACCCAAATGACTAACACTGTATACCAAAACTTTGTAACTGGCATTTCTTAGCAAAAATTTTAACTTATTAAAAGTATATCACTAAAGAAAATATTACTTCAGCTGGTACTGATCAACACTATTAACGGATAGGATTTTCTTCTATTAATACCATTTGCAAAGCAAAGGTACAAAGTGTTCCTGCGGGTTCGGCATCAAATGCTGACATCCTTTAAATCATATTTTTAGCTCTTTTTTTTTTAAAGCATAGAAAAAAAATTTATAAACTTAAGCAATAAAAATTAGCATTTCTTGTTTTCTGTATATAATGTATCAACCTCACATTATTCATTACCTGGAAAATTTTCACATAATACTTCTATTGGTGTAGCCCGTTTTGTATCTCCAATTTTCTGATATCTCTCTTTTAATGTGTCAGCCTAAAACAGAAAAAAAAAAATCTTGAGACTATGGTAATTTAAAAATTATTTATTTAGCTGGGGTTGCACACGGTAGCCTGTAATCCCAGAGCTTTGGAAGGCCAAGGCAGAAGGAATGCTTGAGCCCAGGAGTTTGAGACCAGCCTGGGCAACACAGTGACCCCTGATGCCTACTTACAAAATAAAATGTTAAAATATGAAAATTGTTTACTTGGAAGAGAGGACCTTAATATCTTCATATTTCATGAAATTCAGTAAAGAAACACAAAAACAATTACCTTTAAGCCTTGCCAAGGAAGACTGCCTCTCAGAAAGTACATGAACATATGACCTAAAGCTTCTAAATCATCTCTTCTACTTTGTTCTGAAATATAAAAGAAATATAAATTTCACTTTTCTCTAACAGTTAAGGATGGAAGAATGGAGACTTTGTTCTTTCATTATGTAAATATTAATTTCCAAAAGTTCAACATATAAATACAAAATACAGATATAGTACCTATAAGTGATAAATTATATCTATATAATGTTTTTACATTAAGATTATTGTGCATCTTTAAAATATTCCTTTATAATTTTTAGATGCTGTTAGAGATTTATTTTTCTGCTTAGATATCTATTCATGGAAGTACAGGCCAAGGGGAAAAGAGTACAGGCCATGGTCAATCAGAGTCACTATATACTATAGCTCTGTCTTAAAGATTCAGAAGGTAACATATTAAAACTTCTGAGAAGTCTAGAGTTTAAAATGTTTAACTTTTTCAACCCTGCATTTCCTCAAGTTATATGAGCACAAAACTTCCATGATAAATATTCTCCATTAAATTAAACATGATTATGGGGTATTGTGTTTAATATATTTTAAGAAAAACTTGTGTTTGACACATACCAACCTTAATAACCCCTTCACTATCACCAAAAATACTGCTTGACCAACTGTCATTTTCAAGTTGTTGTAACAAAATGTCATTTAGCACATACGTGAATAAAGATCACAGACAAAGGCTCAGGGAGATGCTTATAAATATTTGTTGACTGAATGATATTTCAATTTTTCTGTCACTGAAGTTAAATACTTAAGATTTCTCGATATTTTAAAATAATACCAAAATGCTAACTATCAATGAGAAAATACTTTAATAAGAGGATGTTTGTTTATGTGCAAGATGTTGTATCCACATCAACAACCATACTATTTAGGCAGTACTCAATGCTTTCAGAAAAGCAAACTTTTGAAAGTACGGATCTGAACTAGGATGAAGGGTCAGAAAAGGTTCTGATTTTTACTGTGTAAACATTCTATACTTGTTGATATGGTTTGGCTGTGTTTACACCCAAATCTCATCTTGAATTCCCATGTGTTGTGAGAGGGACGCAGTGGGAGGTAATGAATCATGGGGCCAGGTTTTTCCCATGCTGTTCTCGTGATAGTGAATAAGTCTTACGAGACCTGATGGTTTTATAAGGAGTTTCCCTGCACAAGCTCTCTCTTTGCCTGCCGCCAGCCACATGAGATGTGACTTGCTCCTTCTTGCCTTCCGCCATGACTGTGAGGCCTCCCCAGCCATGTGGAACTGTAAGTCCATTAAACCTCTTTCTTTTGTAAATTGCCCAGTCTCAGCTATATCTTTATCAGCAGCAGCAGCAACATGAAAACAGATGAATATACTTGTTTTTAATAACACTTGTTATGATTTAAAGATACTATGTTTGCTTTTATTTAATCCATATATACACTTCCACCAGACTGCAAGTTGAAGAAGTATACATCAAAATTGGTAGTCATTAAGGCTACGAGACTGGAAGACTAGAGAAAAGATTTCAACTTGCCATTTCACAAGCTAAAAATGTGATATAATGGAGAGTTTTATTTTTTTATTTCTTGCACTTTTTGTTATAAAATATAAGTATACAGTATCAAAAATAGCAAATTTTCCAAAATAAGTAGTGGCCTTAAAGTCCCTACATCCACTAATGAAAGTGGGGATGAGAATATGAAAAAAAATGTTATGACTTTTATAACAAAAACTTTACTTCATTAGATTCTGGTAGTCTTAAGGGTATAGTTTGATAAGTTTTAACAACACACACACCTGCATAACTACCACCACAATCAAGAGGCATTTCTAATGCTCCAAAAGGTTTCCTAAAGTCTCTTGCCTATTACTCTCCTCCAGCTCCCACAATACCATCAGCCTCAGGCAACCACTTATCTGCCTTCATCACTACAGATTAGACAAGTGCACACGAATGGAATCATACAGTATAGACTTGTATCCAAATTCTTTCACTTACTAAGTTTTCAGGATTTATCCATGTTGTTATGTACAATTATACCTCATTACTTTTTAATGCTGAGTAGTACATTAAAATGTGTTTATTCATCTGTTGACAGACATTTGAGTAGGTTCCAGTTCGGGGCTATTGTGAATAAAGCTGTTATGAACATTCTTCTTGTACTAGTCTATGTTGACATAGGTTTTCATTTATGTTGGGTTAATATCTAGAAAGGGGATTGCAACATGATGTTGTAAGTATAGGTTTAACTTTATAAAAACCTTCTATACCGTTTTCCAAAGGGATTGTGTCATTTCACATTTCTACCAGCAATGTATGAGAGTTTCAGTTGTTTCATAACCTGTCCAACCTTTAGTATGGTCTTCTAAATTTTAGCCATGCTAGTGGCTATGAAGTATAGGCAGTAATAAATCCTTTCAGAAAAGCAAACTTCAAAGTATGGATTAACTGACTGAACTTGCATTTCACTGGTGACTAACGTTGAACTTTATTTCATGCGTTTGCCCATTTAATAAATTGGGTTGTCTTATTAAACAGTTGCAATAGCTCCTTGTATATTCTGGATACAAGTTATTTTCAGATATGTTTTGCCAATGCCTTTTCCCTTCGAGAAAACAGTTTGCTATTTTTTTGTTTCCTTAAAAGTAGGTTTAAAAGAAATTTTACATTTTGATGAAGTCCAATTTATCAGGGTTTTTTCCTCTTATTGTTTATACTTTTTGATGTCCAATCTAGGAAATCTCTACTCACAGGACCACAAAGATCTTCTCCTGTTTTTTCTTCTAGAAATTTTATAGTTATGGTTCCTATATTTTAACCTATTATTCATTTTGAAGTAATTTTTTTTTTTTTTCTTTTCGTGTGGAGTAAGGATTTAGATTTATTTTTTTCAAATTGATATCTAGCTACTCTCGTATAGTTTCTCGGCAAAACTATCCTTTCCCCTCAAGTTGCTTTTGCACCATTCTCAAAATTCAATCAACCATCTATGTATAAGTCTATTTCAGACTCTGTATTCTGACCAACTCATCTTTATCTGCCTTCATATCAATACCACCCAAAATAAACAGAAAGACAAAATAATGACAAATGAGGAAATCAATGACCAGACAATGACCAATGGACAATCAGTAATGAAAACCGATGAAAACAAAAGCTCAATAAAATCATTAATCTTCTTAGCAGGCTAAAAGAAAGAAACACAAATTACCAAAAACAGAAGAAACAGAGGAGGCATCAGAACAGATCCCACAGATATTAAAAGAATGATAAAACAGTACTACGAAACAATCCAATAAATTAAACAACTTATATGAAATGGACAAATATCTTGAAAGCTACTAATAACTAAAACTGCCTCAAGAAGAAAATGTAAATAGCTCTGCAGCAATTAAAGAAATTAAATTTATTATTTAAAAACTTCCCAAAATACAATCCAGATAGCATCGCTACTGAATCCTATTAAACAGTTAAAGAATAATACCAATTCTACACAAACTCGGGATTAGAAGAGTTCCCAACTCACTGCATTACCCTGTTACCAACAACAGATAAAGACATTACAATTAAAGGAAACTACAAGAAATATTCCTCATAAACACAGACACGAAATCCTTAAAAAGATAATACTTCATGACTAAGTAAGGCTCATCCTAGGAACGTAGGTTTGGTTTAACTTTTAAAAATCAATCAATGTAATTCACCAAATTAATACAATAAAATATAAATCATGTCATCATCTCAGATACAGAAAAAGCACTTGACAAAATTCAACATGTATTAATGATTTTTAAAAACTCTCAACAAACTAGGAACTACAGGGCAACTTCATCCTGACAACAACTATGTTCTTAAATGATAAAAGTCACTCCTAAGATCGGGAACGAACAAAGATATCCACTCTTACCCTTTCTATTCAGTATTGTACTGGAGGTTCTTGCCAGTTCAAAGAAGCAAAGAAAACAAAATTAACAGATATTCAGATCGGAAATGAAGAAATAAAACTATTGCTCTCTGCAGACAACAGGATTGTATATTTAGAAAAATCTAAATAATCTACAAAAGGTCTATTACAACTAGTAGGTGAGTTTTAGCAAGGTTACAGGATACAAGGTTAATATATAAAAATCAACTGGGGCCAGGCTCGGTGGCTCACACCTGTAATTTCAGGACTTTGGGGAGGTCGAGGCAGGAGGATAGCCTGAGACCAGGAGTTCAACACTAGCTTGAGCAACACAGAGAAACCCCAACTTTACGAAAAAAAAAATTTTTTTAATTAGCTGGTGACTGGGTGTGTTGGCATGCACCTATAGTCCCAGCTACTAGGGAGGCTGAGGTGGGAGGATTTCTTGAGCCTAGGAGGATGAGGTTGCAGGGAGCCATGGTTGCACCATTGCATTCCAGCCTGGGCAACAGAGCAAGACCCTGTCTCTACAAAATAAAAATAAAAGTCAACTGGATTTCTATACTCACAACGAGTAAGTGAAAATTGAATTTTAAAACCGATACCTTTACAACAGCATCAAAAAACACGAAATATGTAGGAATACATTTATCAATGTATATGCAAGACATATATGCATATAATATATATACTATATATGCATATAGTTTAAAGAACTTAAAATACAGTACAGTAGGGATACATTTATCAGTGTATATGCAAGACATATATTATATGCATATAGTTTAAGAAACTTAAAATACAGTACAAGTAAAAGTATGTTGAGCCCTACAGTAAGACTTTGTTAAGGAGAGAAACTCAATATAAAAGGCAATTCCTCTTTGAATTCTATCCAAGAGGAGCTTTAGTCACATAGTGCTAATAAGCCATGGGCATAAGGTGATCTTGCCTACATGGTTCTATCAGAGAACAGTATTAGTCTCATAACCCACAAAGCATTTCAAAATTCAAGCCATAAATATTAGCTAGTAAAATAAATCTACTACTGAAACTCAGTCTGAAATGCTCTTTACCCTCATAATTCCTCTCTTTGTGTTCTTTCACCAAATGACATATCTGGAAATAAATATTACCATGTAGTAAGTTATAGAAATCACAGGAAG